TTATAACACTCTGACAATATTAGATTTTGCCTAGATTGCCCCCTGAAGTACTTTTCTTTCTCCTTTGGACTCTTAATGCTTTTCACACCACCTCTATATGATTCTAATTAGAAGACTGCTTCTCAGACTTTGTGTAGATTGACCACAACAGACAGCTGCTGATTGCTGACTTCTGACCTCAGACTGAACTCTCTCCACATACACACCTCCTAGCTCTGCCCACACACTTTCAGTTACCAACCAATCACCTCACTCACTCCTCTCCCTCTTTCACGCCCTTGTTCTTCTGACACTTACCAAACATTTAAAGAAACACACACATATAACTTGAAATCATTACACCCTCTCGAATTTCCATCCATTTAGCCTAAGATTGTTGGGCATGTGTAGCAAGGCCTCTGAAAATTACCAGAGTGGCCAAGTAGGTTCATATAAGGAAAGGTGCTTCTTAAGGTACACTGACTCAAAGCCATATAGGGCTTTAAAGGTCAATACCATCAACTTGAATTCGGCCTAGAAGCAAATTGGGAGCCAGTGTAGATGGGAGAAGACTGGAATGATATGATCCTTACAACCCACTGCAGTCAACATCCTGGCTGCAGCATTGCAACCCAGCTGCACCTTCTGGACAGTTTCAAAGGCAATCCTGGCCTGGGTACAGCTCATTGCAGATGTTACTGGGACATGTACCACAGCGGCAAGTTATAAACTTCTAATCAGTATTATGGTCTTCCAGTGAATTACATGGGTCTATGAGAGGGCTCAAGCATTTAAAGCTGGACTTTCACTTCATAAAAAAATAAGAACAAAAAAATTGTCTTACCACTTCTGGGAGCAACTTAGTTGCAAGGTCATGGATGGCTTTGATCACTATACATAGAGAAGACAGAAGAAATATCACACCCAAGATGGCACAAGCTCTGCAAAGAAAGAAATATTTATTACATATTTGGATCTCTGTGCTCTGTTGATCAATGGTGAACACTGGACTTTTTACAACATAGCCTTTAGGAATTGACTTTTTTATTTTTTTATTTTTTTGGGGGGGGGGAATACTGGGCCTTTTTAGTAGGGCTGCCAGCCTCCAAGTGAACCTGGAGATATCCCAGAATTACAACTGATTTCCAGATTACATAGATCAGTTCCCCTGCAGAAAACAGCATCTTTGGAGGGTGGCATCACATCCCAGCTGAAGTCCCCCTCTCCTCCCCAAACTCTGTCCTCACCAGGCTCTACCCCCAGATCTCCAGGAATTTTCCATCCCAGGGTTGGCAACCCTACCTTTCATTCACATGACCTGGGAAAGCAGAGTAACTATCAGGAGGAGCAGGCACTAAATCAACTAATACTAGGTGCTGGCCTAAATAAAATACCTGGAACTGTAATGAAGTCTTATAGTCATGGCCTCCTGGAAATGTTTGTCCACGTTTTAAATATGTATATGTCTACTAAAAAGAAAAAAGCATTTTGCAACTTCAGTTTCATATTTTTAAGGACATTGTGGAGTACACTGATGTACTGGAATTAACACTTTTGTAAACCAACTAGGAGCTGCGGTGGCTCAAGTGGTTAAGACGCTGAACTGCAGGCTGTGGAAGGTTGGTAGTTCAGCACAACCTAGCAGTTCGAAAGCAAGAAATTGCAAGTAGATAAATAGGTACCACTTCAGTGGGAAGGTAACAGCGTTCCGTGCGCCTTGGTGTTTAGTCATGCTGGCCACATGACCACGGAAGTGTCTTCGGACAGCGTTGGATCTTCAGCTTTGAAACGGAGATGAGCACCGCGACCCTAGAGTCGGATTCGACTGGCTTTTGAGCAAGGGAACCTTTACCTTTTAAACCAACATTATTTTTAGTGATTATACTAAACAAGACACTGAGTTCTGGATCACAACATGAAGCAGAATCTTTTACTGGAAAATGCCCTAATTAGAGGACACTTGGGAGGTCCATGATTGGTGCTCCCAATATGTTTTTCCAGCTTAAAGAGCAGCCAGGGAATAGGAGAACTCATTTTACAGTACACTGGTGTCACAGTACAAGATGGAGGAAGAAATTATATTATAGCATAGGACAAAATATGCTAGCATTCCTCTCCTTCCCCAACCTGATATTAACACCAGTGTGTGTGGAGGGGAAATATGTATAAACCAGTGAGGGGGTTTCTCCCCCAGCAAGGTCTAAAGCATCTCAAGGAACCCAATTTATACTGGGAAAGGGTTACCTTTATTATTTCCCCCAACACACACATCATTCACGTGCAGTCTAGTCATAATCCACTCACGGCAACCACAGGACCATGGGGTTTTCAATGCAAGAGATGAGCAGAGGTGGTTTGCCATGACCTTCCTCTACATTGCAACGCTGGACTTCCTTCATAGTATCTGATCCACATTCTAACCGTAACCAGCCCTTCCAAGCTCTGATGAGATCAGGCTAATCAAGGCTGTTCAGGCTGCTACACACATAACTACTCTAATCCAAATGGTTAACCTTTAAAAATATATTGGGAGATATTATCATGAATCTTCCACATCTAACCCAGATGTACACTAAATTACCTAAAATTTGTTGCTAATGGAAGCTGCTTTATATAGCCTAATGTTCACCAAATCCTGTGTAAACTAATTTCTTGGTTATCCAAACATTTTGGACATCTTTCAGACCATTCTGATAAATGGCACAATATGATAATTCGCTTTATAACCAACATGTCTTTTCTTTAAATACGAGAAAAGAATGAAACAAATGTTCTTCATCTGGCATCAGCAACTTGTCACCTATTGGGAGCCAAGTCCAAAGCAGTTATAATTAGCAGAGTAGCGTGCAGCTATTTTTAACTCTGCAGACATCAGACAATCCGGTGGCTTGACAAAACATGCAAAATTTACATCAGATTCACTACAGAAAACTGGGCAGAGGTCCACCAAAATTAAGAAGCAAAAATTCACCATAGCAAAACGGTAACATTTTGGCATATCCTCTTCAGGAAAATAGATAAAAGGTATTATCACATAGTACACATGCTGATGAACTGAGGGTGCAAAAGGTTTGAACTGCTGACTGAGGAATAGATCATGACGGTAAGAAGCAAAAGAAGCAAAGTTGGCAACAAGTTTTAGATAACCCTTTTCACAGTTGTTACCATAGAAGATAACAGAGACAGGGCACTTAAAGTAGGACACAAATCTACTCATCCTGTGAAAAATACTAACATCAGAGGTAAATTTTGATATCATGATATCCCTGAGGGTATAAACTAATCCAGAGAGCAACTGAAGGATCAGGAGACTCTAACAAAGTTCCTGCACCCAAAGTTGTCCTTAGCTCTAACTCATTACATCATCTTCAGTCTTCCCACTTCCCTAACCTCTGTACCTAGGCTGATGCTGCATCTAGTATCCATCCTAACCCATCTGGACAAATAGTCCTTCCTATTTCATCCAGCCAAGTCTTGGTGATGCTTGCTTAACCAGCAGACTCATCCACAATCAAATGGAGAATGATAGTCTTACTTTGTTGTCAATCTGGCATTTCTCAAAAACAGCACAAGATGTCAAATTCCATACAGCCAGGGTGAAAATGGCTGTTCTAAGCTGGTAAAGACTCCTTGCTTTAAAACTAAATCTGCTTACAATACTGTATTTGAGCCCCCTCACTAACCTGTCAGTTATGACACCTACTTCTCTTTTCCTCGTCTCTTCCGTAGCTTATAAGGACTTTTGGGGGCAGCTGCCCCTTGCTCCGTCAGAAAGTCCTCTCCCGAAGAACCCGAGGCCAGCTTGCCACTAGACTTGCTGTCCTCTTCTTTTTTCCCGTCCTCTGGTCTTCCCAGCTTAACCCTTAGAAATTCTTGGGCTTTCAGAACAGAGTCAATCTTTTCTTTTTTATCCTGAAACTTGAAAGTAACGCCTTCTGGAAATAGCCATTTATATCCAATTGAGTTTGTCTGAAGGAAAAGCACAAGCTCTTTGTACTTCTTTCTCCGTTGTCTTGCTTCAAATGGAATATCCTTTAGCGTTCTGATAGTATTTCCCCCCACTTTCAGTGGTACTCCAGAAACCGCTTTCAGGATTGCATCCCTCACATGCCTTCTCAAGAATCTTATAACAATTTCCCCAGGTAGATTATTTTTCTTTATATAGCCTGAATATGATCGATAAACCACATCCATATCGCTCAGCAATGCTTCTGCCTTCATTTCTGTCACTGGGGCTAGCAATTCACTCATAACTTCTTTAAGATTCTCTCCTGATTTTTCCGGCATGCCCTGGAAGTGAAGAATCATATTTTCCATTTGCACTTGTAACAGTTGGTCTTCCATGGAGATTTGTTTGTTTTTCTCTGTCCTTCTTCCCCACCATCTTTATCATTTGTTTACTTTCACAAATTTTTTACAATCTCTGAATGTGCACTTGACCGCTTAGATTTGCTTTGGTAAGCACTTCTCGACAGTTTTCTTCACGTTTTCTTCCGCTCCCCCCCTCAGTCGCTCAAAAGTTCATGTGCTTGGGAGGCGTCCCTCCCCCGCTCGCCTTTTTCCCATTCAGTGAGGTGGGGTGGGGAGCTAGTTTTTTCCCTTTAAAAACACTTTAAAGCTGACTCACATTCATAATTGGTCATTCGACCTTGCTTTCAGCTTCATTTCTGATGCTCGATCTCCCATGCTTGCCCCGGTCAGCATCACTAAATCTCTCACAGCACGGAGAACCTTTGGAATGAAGAGGTGCCTCAATTCTCCGGCATTCTGCCCTCGAAGAGGCGACCTCTTAGAAGTTCCATGGGGGGGTAAGTGAGCCTGCGCACCCCCTCCTTCGGCTGGAGCGCAGCTTCACCCCTGGGAGGTCCGGGAGGTGAGTCTGCTAGCGTGCCGCCATAAACCGGAAGTCCCTGGTTTACTCAAGATTATCAAGGATTGGGCAGTGATTGTATTTTAGACTTTCCACATGTCACTACTTACCTAGATACTGCAGAATTTAACCTAAAACTATTTTTATCAAAAGCCTTCCTCATACCCAAATGTTCAGTGTGATATATTGCATAAAACGATTTGCAAGCTACCAGTCCACGAAATTCACCCTTCACCCTCTTCCTAGCTTCTTGCTTCCCCCCCACCCCCAGTATTGCAAGGCGGGGAGCTCTCTCAAAATAGTTACAATAAAAGCCTAAGCAGAGTTACCTGGAAACAAGCTGCACTAAAATCAATAAAACAGCTTCAAGGTAAATGAGCTTAGAATCAGTGTAATACTCTGGTTTCTGCAATACTAAACCTTAGAGAGTTTAAAAATTCATATCCCTATGCTTCAGCAGCAACTATGAACTACGCTGGCCTCCAACAGCCATCAGTGAACTCCAGCTGAAGGAAATGCAATTCTAAGGAAGGGCAGGAAGGTACTTCTGCAACTGTATTTTAAGACCTTCTGTAAATTTCCTACATAGCTGTATTGTCCATTAGAACTCTCTGTGCTATGAGCAGGAAAATTCACTACACAACTCATGTGATGATCCATGAATACCGAATACAACCAGAAACTCAATAGGGGAATGAAAATCCCTATGGCAACTGCAATATTTAGACCAGCTGTGAGGAAAGCAAATTTAACTTACACATAAAATAGATTCCAGGTTGCTAATTTGAGAACTGCTTCAACAAATGTCCATGCTTGCCTCCTATAATTGCCACAGTTTCCTCTAAGGTGCACTAGGGGATGCTGGCACACCAAATTTTAACAGGCAGCTCAAGGGTTGTGAGCTTCTGCTCACAAGACATTTTCCCCCTCCATTGGAAACAATGGAGGATAGGGGTGCCTCCTTCTGGGCCCCCTAAATTGGACGGCCTGGTCCAATCTTTTTTAAACTTGGGTGGGTTGAGGAGAGGCACCAGCAGCTATGCTGCAAATTTGGTGTCTCTACCTAAAAAA